ACATAGTTCACGACAACTGATATTATGTATAATTTTATTCTCGTTCTTTACGACGAGTTCCGTCACGTAGGTGACACGATGCAATAGGCACATAATATCTAGGACATATCAGTGGGTGCTGCCATTAATGCGCTGGTCAGGTAATCAAAAATAGGCTGCATATTTACTTATGGGTGGGTCACGGTTTAAGACCAAGTTAAGCAAACTTTAACTATCTCTGCTAAAATATTAAGATGTTTTAAGCAATTTTATCTGACAGAGTGGCACAAATATGCAAACATCTCCATTCTCACAATGAGTTCTCTCATCCTTCCAACAGTTTTTTTTTTTTTCTGAGGTAATCTGGGAACATGTTCAGTGCAGCGAATACATTGCAAAAGCATTTCCTGCTTATTTAAATTTGTCATTGATAGTGAAAACAGTTTAATAGGCTTGTCTGAAACTGTACACTTTCATTTTATTTAGGCTAGATTATTATTTAATTTAACAAACCAAGACAATCTCACAGCAATTTTTGTTTTGGTGCATATAGCAGACTTGTTTTGTAGCGCATAACCGCAAATGTTATTCGTTATTCTTGTTTAAAGATAACTGATCAACAAAAATACATTTAAATTAAGATACAAATTAAACCAACAGAATTAGTTAAAAAAATATTTTTTTTTCAAGAAAAATTTACAAATTATATTATTGTTTGTGTCCCTCCACTTCTCAGTTATGTGGGTGGAAAATAAAAATGTAATGTATAAGTTAAAGTTATAAGTTTTTTAAAAGTATTTTTCATGATTTGCTGGAAATTTTACAATTCATTAATATCTACAGGTATATCATAACTGTACAAATATAAATAGCTGTAAAAACAATAAATATAAAGTCATTAGTTTTTTATTAATATTGCATAGATGCGACATAATATATATTGAGATTTTAGATAGATCCAAAAAGGCTATTCGGAAATCAAAAAGCCATCATACAATATATCATATTTTATATTATATTATGCACTATATATATATATATATATATATATATATATATATATATATATATATATATATATATATATATATATATATATATGCACTTTCAATGGCCAGATTTATTTAACTACAAAAAGCCTATATTAACCCTTTATCAGGGAAAAAACAATCACACTGTAAATTGTAATTGATTTGTGTTGTGGCAACATGAAGGAATTAAGTTAGCATAAAAGAACTAAGTTGTCCCACCCAAAAAACTTAAAATTGTGTTGTTTCAGCTCATTGCAAGTCAAATATACAAACAGCAAATGTAATTTTCTGAGTGTACACTGTAAAAAAAACACTGGGTTCGACACAACGGATTTGAGTTGGATCAACATGTCAAGTTGACCTTCTAGTTTTTACAAATTTAAGTTGAACATAAAACAAAGTCAACATAGACTCATACCGGAAATGTAGCCCTATATACATTTCTGGAGATCATGAATTATGAAGCCAAAAGTATGCATGACATGCATGACTGCATTTCATTTCTTAAATAAACACCAGGGATGGTATGATGTTATTCCTTTTCGCGCTTACCAGCTGACAGCTTACCTTCGTATGGAAGGCTTTCTGGCTGTTACCAGTTTGTCCAGAGGCTTACCATGTACGTCGGTGGACTTGAGACGCAGAGAGGACTCTACAGGGTTTGAGTCCTATAAAAAACATTTCCAGAAAGCTGGTAAGACAAAAACAGAAGCCCAAAAATAAAATAAAGAAGTAACTAACGATAAGAATGTGATAAAACATGGTAAAAATCAGACAAGGGTTTTTCTTTTTCTGAATTGCTTTTTAAATTTCTCCACTGGGTTAAGAAAGGTGCGTGGTTCGGGTCAACCAAAGCTTTTTAAAATACTATTGGTTGGGTTTAGGAAAGGAGGAGGGTGGGTCAGTTGATCAGTCAGCCAGTCATTCAATCAGTCAAACAGTGGCCTCTGGTGGATTTACGTGAGAACAACAGGTGCAAAAGGCACTTGAGAGAGAAATTTGAGTTAAAAAAGCAGACATATTGACCTGTAGTAAATACGCGAGAACAAAAACTGCAAGAAAAAAAAAACGTAGCTCCTATTTGACGGACTCCAGACATGTAAATAGAGGTATGTTTTTAGAATGAGCCTGAGTTGAAAACAGTTGCCCCCAAAAAACTCAAGAATTGTGTTATTTCAGCTCATTTTAAATAAGTAGTTTGAGCAAAAAACAAATGTCATTTTTTGTGTTAATTACTATGCAGACATTATAATGTGTAATTATGATTTTATATTACATAATTTTCATCTAATCTGTTTTTCAGATTAATATATTTCAATAAGTGCACTATAAGGAGTTTGTTTATAGAATTTTAACCCATTAAATTAATTTAAGTTTGATAAAACAATGCCACAGTTGTTTTAAATTAACTCATTAAAACAGGAAAAGGTGATTAAATGCTCCACATACACCAAAAATGTGCCATAATATTGCAAATTTAAAAATGTTTACAATTTGGAAGCTATGGGATTCTGTTAAAAGTGTTTTCTTCTTCTTCCATAAATAGCACACAAGATTAAATATTGCAATCTTGATAGGTTTGAATGGAGAAATTTAAGCACTGAAGGTCCTGCATGTAGCAACTTTTAGTGTAAAATTCAGTAAAATTCAATCGTTTTTGCTCAAATGTTTGCTGCTTGTATTAAATAACTAAAGTAACTAAAATGAACTTCAATTCTGAAAACTAGACTAGCACACTTTCAATTTACTAGAACTTCTATGTTAAGCTACTTTGACACAATCTACGTTGTAAAAGCACTTTAGAAATAAACGTGAATTAAATTGAACTGAACTGTATTAACCGACCGCTAAAAAATAAATAAATGATACAAAAGAAAGCCATCCATAAAGATGCACAAGGCATTAGAAACACTTTCCTTTTCTCATAATATAAACTGCAGCATCAACTACGCACAATAGGAAAAGTCATATCTAAAAACCTGTAACAATGCTTCAGTTAATCTTTGTAGTAATTCTGAAAAGGGCATCAGACTCCTGCATTTCAGAAGAAGAGTCCTGCAGAGCTGTGTTTACAATCTGAGGGGTATTAAAGCATCTCACCTGGAGAGTTAGTTTACTCTCCTGCCCACATTAATGCTCGCTCTGCAGGGGAGTTTCCTTAAATGTGTCGATTACAGCGTGGAATGACTATCAGCTGTCTCTCATTAGGATGCTGCTTAAAGAGACGGCTCACCCCCAAAAACCTAAATTTGCTGCTAGTTTACTCACACCTACATCTAAATAGCCTAAGGGGTTTCCCCTTGTTTTTCAATAGAACATTAAAAATGTTTTTAAGCTGAAAATTTGGTCCCTGATAATTCATAATAATAACACTTCATGGAGTCATGGTCCATTTGTTAATGTATAAATTAGCATTAACTAAGTATAAATAATCTTGTAAAGCATTAATTACTCATAGTTTAAAATTAACTAATGCGTTATTAAAATACCAAACTGTGTTTGTTGACATTAATTAATGCAACATGAGTTAACATGAACTACATTATTTAACTTAAATGAACATTAACAAACATGAATAAATACAGTAATAAATATTAATAGCTTGTTCATGCAAATACATTAACTAATGGACCATTATTTTAAAGTGTCACCACAGTTTAAGAGTGAAAAACAACAAACAAACAAAATGGTAACACTTTACAATAAGGTTGTATCCGTTAATACATTTACTAACATGAACATACTATGAACAATACATTTATTACAGTATTTGTTAATGTTTGTTAACAATAGTTAATGAAAGTACAGTAGTTTAGTATTAGTTATATGTTAACTTACGGTGCATTTACTAATGTTAACAAACGTGAATTTGGATTTTAATAATGCATTGGTAAATGTTGAACTATAACTAATAAATGCTGTACATGCATTGCTCATTATTAGATCATGGTAGTAAATACATAAACATAATTTAACAAAACCTTATTTTAAAGTGTGACCAAAAAAAACTCATGCAGGCAAAGGTAGGTTTCTGATGATACTTTGAGATCTTATAAAGCTTTACAATGTTATTACCTTTAATACACAGCCTTGACAAGTTTAAGACTTTTTTTTCTTTCTTTCTTTCTTTCTTTTTTGGGTTATAAGTTTTTGTAAATAAAGTATGAATTGCCTGATTACCTTAATATTCATTTCGATTTATTAACAATTTAGATATTCTCCACTTGTTTTAAACATATATCAGTTTCTTTCTTCTGTTGAACATAAAATAAGATATTATAAGAACACTGGTAAAAAAAAACCTTGTGGGTCCATATTGACTTCTACAGACTTGTTTTCCCTACTATGGAAATCATTTGAAACCATCAACTTTTTGGTTACCAAATGTTTACCAATTTTTCTTTTTTCAATGTACCAAAGGACCCTTTCACAAGAGTCTTACGATGCATTTCATGGTCATCAGCATCTTAAATCTTGAAAGTTTTTAATATTTAGATTTTTAAAAAATGTTTGCATATTTATATGTATTTACATATGTATTACATAATATTTGCATCAAATTACAAAAAATAAATTAGCGAAAGCCTTTGCAATGCAGTGTATGGGGCAGGACAATAAATTTGACGTTGTTCTCTCTTCTGGCTGCCGTTATCAGTCTCATGCTATTTTTTTTTCTTTCTCTGAAATTCCTGGTAACACCATTGTGGAGTTTTTTTCTTTATTATTTTAGCAAATATGATTGTAAAAAACATATTTGTTGAACACTCAGATTCACTGCGCTCTACATTTACCCAACTATGATGACTTCTGCTGCTGAGAAACCCGGAAATGTGAAAAGGCTCTTTTCAATGGTTTCAACTTTGCTTTTTTGGGTGAACTATCCCTTTAACTGAATGATGTGTGTTGTTTCAAAGTTCATAACATGAAATAGTTTGTATATAAACTAAGTAAATAAGTAAAAACAATAAAATAAAATAAGATCACAAAAGTGATGTCTTCATGTCTTTATTTGCCGGAAAGATGTAGCAATTATAAATACTGATATCATTTTAAACATATAAAATTATAAATAGCTGTACAAATATATTTACAAAAAATATATAAAGTCTTTCATTTCCATTAGCATGCAAGCATTGCACAAATTAATTACTGCATCCATATTTTCAATAAGGTCAGTTTTGGTCAGCACTGTCCATGGAAAAAATTGTGCTGCTGGGAAAACCAGACGTCTTGAGCTGGGAATGAATGGAAATCACCTTGAACTGGATTCTGAGTCTGGAAAAAAAAAATAAAGATAAAATTATTACATCAGTGCTATAAAATATCAGGTTAAGAATCACTTTTAAATGTAAAAACGTGTAAACTGATGGTACTGTTAAATTATTGAAGAAAATTATGTCGATATTAGACTACGGTGATGTTACAGTATCGATATGCATGCTTTGTTTCAGAGTCTGCATGCATTGGATACTGTTTACCATGGTGCACTAAGATTTATAACTAATGTTAAATCCCTTGCTCATCATTATGGGGTTGTATACTAGAGTAGGTTGGTCTGCTTTGTAAATTTGTAGGCTCAAGCATTGGCATATCTTTGTTTACAAATCTAGATTGGGTTTACTCCCGTCATATCTACAGAATTACATTTGTAAAAAAAAAATGTCCTTAGCTATGGCCTTCGGTTACAGGGTATTTATTTACTGTCTGTTCCTAAAGTGTGGACTGAGATGGGGAAAATAGCCTTTACAGTAAGTACGCAGCACCAATTGCATGGAATAATCTGCAAACAAAGTTGCAGTTTAAATAATTGATTTCACTAAATGCTTTTAAAAAAGGGTATAAATGATTTAAAAATTGAACACAGGCTTGTAGATGTTTGAATAGTTTGTTTGTCAATGTGTGATTCATGTTAACTGTTAATTGTTTTTTGTTTGTTGTCTGTTAGGCCCATGTGACATGTATACTGCCTAATCTTGGCCAGGACGCTCCTGTAAAAGAGATTTTTAATCTCAATATGTCTTTCCTGGTAAAATAAAGGTAATATAAAATGATAATAAATAATATATATCATAAAAATTGCTTTTAAAGTATATTTTTGAATACAAAAAGCCTTGTTAATAATAATAATAATAAAATGTATTATTATTTGTTGTTATTATTAGAATAAAATGTATTATTATTTGTATTGTTATTACTATTATTATTATTATTATTATTATATTATATTTATTTTTATTATTAAAACTCATAAACACAGCACAACAACCTTTGTTATAATAGTAAACTAAAGCTAACACCAGAAAGTTACAATTTAAATAAAAAAATGCTAACCAGAATATTTTTATTTAGCTAGTTTCCAACGAAACCACAGAAACATAACCAACCTTATTTATACATATTTAAATATCCCACAAAAAGCAGTGTTGTTAATAATAGTAATAATAATATAACTGTTTAAAATAATCAAATAGTAAAAAAGTAGCAAGTACACACCTGATTATAATAATAATAATAATAATTATAATAATAATATGAATAATATTATAACTGTTTAAAATAGTCAAACAATAACAAAAAGTAGCATGTACACACCTGATAACAATAACTACAACAACAACAATAGTAATAATAATATCAAAAAATTTATAAAATAGTACAATAGTATCAAAATAACATGTGTACACCTGATAATAATAATAACATAACTGTTTAAAATAACCAAATAATTAAAAATTAGCATGTACACACCTGACAATAATAACAACAACAACAACAACAGCAACAATATTAATAATAATAATAATAATAATAATAATAATAATAATAATAATAATAATAATAATAATATAACTGTTAAAAATAGTCCAATAATAACAACAAAAAAGTTGCATGTACACACCTGATAACAGCTCATAGACATGAACTGCTGAGCTGGTAAACTTTGAGAAGCCGAAGAAGCTGAACTGAAGTTGTCAAACACGCTTGCTGATGTGCTGATAACCTCGTCCTGCGCTTCACAAATCTCCACATCTTCACCGCATCCGAGCTGATCAGATAAACAGGAGATGTACTTTATGGCGAGCCGCAGCGTCTCAATCTTGGTCAGCGTTTTTCCCACGGGAGCCACAGACGCAGGCAGGAAGGTCCTGAGGTGATGAAGAGCTTTGGTGAGATCCCTCATCCTCAACTTCTCCCGCTCGCTTGCAGTCTGCCGTTTAACTCCAGGAAACTTCGATTTGGGACGTCCGGTTCTCTTCGGCGGCTGGACATCTGTCTTCTGGATGCTTTTTGGGAAGATCTGAGGCAGCAAAGAGTAAGCTGGTGGAGAAAAACTGCAGGAATCGATGGAGGAGGTTGGAGAAAGGCTACCAGTGGCGCTGTAATAACCAGCATCTGATACAGCAAAGCTCTGGTTTTGAGAGTCCGGAAGAAAAAAGCTGCAGTTTTGAAGCTGAAGAGAAAACGTGGAGGCGTCCATGGCTGTAGAGCTGAATGAGGTTGTGTTTGATTGGGTTTCTGGTGTATATATGTGCTCTGAGAGGTGCGATTTGGCACCTAGGAGGATTTCAGTCAGGACTTGAGAAGAGACACGACACCTGAAGTAGGGGGTCTGTGGGAAAGAGCAGCTTCTACAACCTCAGATCAGAGAGAGAGGTGTGAGGCTCAGAAACTGCCCAAACACAGCAGCCTTCACACATTACATGAGATGATGGATGGATGGATGGATGGATGGATGGGCAGACAGACAGACAGACAGACAGACATATAGACAGATAGACGGATAGACAGATGGATGGATGGATACAAAACTATAGACAGATGGGTAGAACTATAGACGGATGGATGGATGGAGGGATGGATACAGAACTATAGACAGATGGATAGAACTGTGGATGTATGGATGGATACAGAACTATAGACAAGTGGATAGAACCATAGACGGATGGATGGATGGATGGATGGATGGATGGATGGATGGATACAGAACTATAGACAGATGAAATGAACTATAGATGGATGGATGGATGGATGGATGGATACAGAACTATAGACAGATGGATAGAACTATAGACAGACGGATGGATAGATGGATGGATGGATATACAGAACTATAGACAGATGGAGAGAACTATAGACAGACGGATGGATAGATGGATGTATGGATATACAGAACTATAGACAGATAGAGAGAACTATAGATGGATGTATGGATTGATGGATGGATGGATGAATGGATAAATGGATGTATACAGAACTATAGACAGATGGAGAGAACTATAGATGGATGGATGGATGGATGGATGAATGGATAAATGGATGTATACAGAACTATAGACAGATGGACAGAACTATAGACGGATGGATGGATGGATGGATAAATGGATGAATAGATGGATTTATATATACAGAACTATAGACAGATGGATAGAAGTATAGATGGATGGATGGATGGATATACAGAACTATAGACAGATGGATAGAACTATAGACGGATGGATGGATGAATGAATGAATGGATAAATGGATGTATACAGAACTATAGACAGATGGATAGAACTGTGGATGTATGGATGGATACAGAACTATAGACAAGTGGATAGAACCATAGACGGATGGATGGATGGATGGATGGATGGATGGATACAGAACTATAGACAGATGAAATGAACTATAGATGGATGGATGGATGGATGGATGGATGGATACAGAACTATAGACAGATGGATAGAACTATAGACAGACGGATGGATAGATGGATGGATGGATATACAGAACTATAGACAGATGGAGAGAACTATAGACAGACGGATGGATAGATGGATGTATGGATATACAGAACTATAGACAGATGGAGAGAACTATAGATGGATGTATGGATTGATGGATGGATGGATGAATGGATAAATGGATGTATACAGAACTATAGACAGATGGAGAGAACTATAGATGGATGGATGGATGGATGGATGGATGAATGGATAAATGGATGTATACAGAACTATAGACAGATGGACAGAACTATAGACGGATGGATGGATGGATAAATGGATGAATAGATGGATTTATATATACAGAACTATGGACAGATGGATAGAAGTATAGATGGATGGATGGATGGATGGATATACAGAACTATAGACAGATGGATAGAACTATAGACGGATGGATGGATGAATGAATGAATGGATAAATGGATGGATGGATAGATGTTGGATGTATACAGAACTATAGACAAATGGATAGAACTATAGACAGACGGATGGATGGATGGATGAATAAAAATAATAAACCAAATGTTCCCACAAGAATAAAAGTAACAGACAATTTTGTCCTCGTGGGGGCACATTTTTGGTCCTCATGAGGAAAACGGCTCATAAATCACTTTTTGAAAATGTAAAACTGCAGATTGTTTCCTGTGAGGATTGGGCTTAGAGGTAGGGTTGGGGTAGGGGGATTGAATATACAGTTTGTACAATATGACAATATATTCCTACAAAGATAGCTGTACAAGTGTGTGTGTGTGTGTGTGTGTGTGTGTGTGTGTGTGTGTGCGCGTGTGTGCACCTGCAGTTTTTGTGGTGTATAAATGGTTTTATAGCCAGCGAGTCAAAATTTACATCTATGATGCACTACAAAAATGTATTGCTATTTAATATATATATATATATATATATATATATATATATATATATATATATATATATATATATATATATATATATATATATATATATATTATATATACAATTTTTTTTTTTTAATCAAATGAACTTTTGCAGTCATCTTACCTTACATCATCAAACTGACTAAAAATAAGACGTTAACTTCTACATGACACAAACATCATTTGTTTGACCTGATTAAAAGTCAAGCAAAAACATTTGTTGTCATATAATTTGTTTACAGTTGCTGTGTCTCATTTCACAGGCTGCATTCTCTGAAGGATGCATTCGAAGTGCGCTGTGTCATCGCGGCGCGACAAAGGCTGTTTAATTTTTTAAAAATTCGAAGGCTCCTTCAAACGCAGCCTCAGAATGCGTGGAACCAGTGGATTCTTGGCGGCCTCGAACGTCCCAATATTCATTGCACGCTGATAACAGCAGGACGTTTTTAAAAAAAAACTCCAGTTTAAATGTATGAATTAAGTTTATTTTACGTGGGTATCTAAACACATGTTAAAAAAAAAGAACATGACATGTCTTACTAAAGAGTGATTTTATACACGTTTACATTTTTGTGTACATGTATGGATGAAAGGAAATATATTTACAGCTTCAGTATACCTTGTTTTGCCCTTTAGATCACTTACAATAAGTTTTCAAATCACTTTGAAAAAAAGTCATAACAAATTTTATTAACAGCAGCTGTCACGGTTGCCTGGTGACAAGATCCGTCCTCTGAAGGCTGGATCAGAGGTTCTCAAAGTGGGGGTCGGGACCCCCCGAGGGGTCGCGGCACAATGAAGGCGGGTCGCCTGGTGATTTTCAAAAATCAATTAATTTTTATTAAACCTTAAGACTTACTGTATTTTATCAATAACCTACTAAAGAGAAAAAAATTGTAGTTTATAGTTACTATAAACTATATAGTTACTATAGTAGCTTATAGTTACTAGTTCTATTGGATTGCGACTTCTCGGGTAATTACATTATACTAAAGACACAGCAATACCGTCAGATGCAGCAGATTGATTTTATAATACCAGGTTAAACTTTCTAGCCCATTTACAGCACTGACATAGATAAAAAAAAACAAAGAATAGACTTGGGTCTATTGGTGTGTGTGTGGGTCATTGCATAGGTTTCTGTATTTATAACCACCACCTCAGAGAATATTGGGGGTCACGAGTCACTGGCATTCTCATTTTGGGGGTCGCGGGCGAAAAGTTTGGGAACCCCTGGGCTAGATCATCTTATTTCAAAACGCTCAATTCAGCCTGCGTGGACTTCGAAGGACTCGCCTATGAAGCCTGCATCCTTCAGAGGATGCAGCCTCTGAAATGAGACACAGCTAGTGTGTGCAGTTAATTTTTTTCTAATGTTGAGATCAATTAAGAAAACTGCATCAAACTTGTCATAATTAAAAATTTTATTTTGTGATGTTAAAAGGTTTTTTTTTTACCCTTAAGGCTGATTTATACTTCTGCGTCAAACGCCGGCGTATGCTACGGCGCTGACGCATACCCCTTCGCCGTGGCCGTCGCTGACGTGCACCTCTCAAAAAATGTAACTACACGTCGCAACAACGCGTAGCGCAAGCTCTGTGATTGGTCGGCTTGGTAGCGCTGACGAGTCTGGGCGGGACCGAGAGCCGCTCGAATGGCGCGAGCGATTGTTTACAAGTGTGGAGTCCCGTGAAGGAGCTCCGTATGGAAAGTTTTGTTTTGTGTTTACCTCATAGTTAAAGTTGTTGCACGGGCGCCGATTCCAGCCTCAAAATGAGCAAGTTTGAGTAACTTGTACATCCAGGAAGTGTTCAGGAAAAGCAAAACAGAAGCGAAGAAACTCGACACAGAGGAACATTTACACCTCACTGCCCACTAGCGTTTCGGAAGTGTTAATGCAGACCAACAGAGACAGCGCACAGAAGTATAAATGCACAGCTGTGCGCGTTGCATGCGCTGTGGGTTACGCCGGTCACTTGACGCAGAAGTATAAACCAGGCTTTAGGTCAACAGGAGGAGGGTTAATTCAACTTGTAGGGTCATTAAAAGCAAATACTGTAGAAGGTCCCTTCCAGATATCACATTTGGTGTGTGTAATTTGGGTGAAGTGCACAAAAAAAAGGTAAAACATGAAATGCAGTAACACTTTCCACTACACATAGTGGACCTTTAATCTAAATGTTGACGGCCATTTTATTTGTCATCTACAGAAATGCAGTAATGACTTCAGCGCTGACCATTCATAATGAACTTAAGCATATTATTAGATTATCCTATGTCTCATAACCATAATTTATCTCTTAATTTTACAATTTCAGAGTTTATTTACTGCTAATGGCATGTGTGCAGAAATCCAAAACCTTCCCGGCTAAGAAATACATTCAATCTAATAACACAGTTCATCACTAAATCTGCCGTCATTATAGAGGTGACCCTGAGGAAACCACGATCACGTCACACCCGTTCCTTCATGTTAACACGATTAACACCGTTTTGATTGCATTCCTACCTGGGCACGAAGTTTTGACCTCTGGGCTCTGAATGTGACGCCTCCTGCGGGCTCCTGTGGTGATGGAGCAGATGATGGTGCTGGTGGAGCAGATCAGAGACTGCAGTTCCCACAAAACAGAAGTGTCGCTTTTGACTCCTGCATTAACAGATACACACGTATAAATAGATATAAGAGCATTTATAATGTTATCTGAAAGATCTCAGCCATGAGCTCAATGGTGTCACAAGTTATGTATTAGTTCAATTCTAGATGTCAGTTTAAACCAAGAAGAATACTAGAAGAAACTTGTATGGTTTACAGACAAGAGGTGTGAAATGATTTAG